CGAGGGTGCCTCGCGGCTTATGGTGGGAGATTGGCGAAACGGCAGCTATGCAGAATACGCGCGCTGGCCGCTCGAGAACGTCCATGTGCTCGACGAAGAGAAACTCGTCATGAAGCTAGGCTACTCGGTGCACGACCTTGCATATCTTCAACGCCTGCTTGTCCCCGGTGGCGGGCTCATGGAATTGGATGTCCAGACTGGCGACCGTGTCGTGATTGCTCCTGCGACAGGACAGTTTGGCGGCGCCGCTGTCGAGGTCGCCCTGGCTCTAGGCGCTGATGTGGTGATTTGTGCCCGCAAGCAAGATGTACTCGAGAGAATGAGGACTTCACTCGCCCCGATCTATCCGCAGGCTAGGATCGACACTGTGGCACTCTCAGGGACAGTCGAGACGGATGTCGGTGCTCTGCAAGCGTTGGGGCCCCTGGATAAGTTCATTGATTTCTCCCCTGCCGCGGCTGCCGGGTCGACACATATCACCAACGTCCTCATGAGCCTGCGCCATGGTGGCCGTGCGTGCTTGATGGGCGGTATCACGGGCACCATCTCCATTCCTTATCCGGTCGTCGTGTTCAATGATCTCACCATCTGTGGGAAGTTCATGTATGATCGGGAAGTGGTCCGGAGAGTCATATCGCTCGTCGAGTCTGGAAGGTTGAAGTTTGAGGTACCGGAAATCGAAGTCTACGGGCTGGAAGAGTGGGAGGATGGGTTCAAGAGCGCGGAGGAGAATGCTGGGTGGAGAGAGATGGCCGTACTTCGACCTGGGAAGAAGTAGGACATTGGACAAACTGCACGGTGGAAAAAGTTCACACTTTGAAGTTGGAGAGTTGCGAGAGATCTCTGATTGATGGATGTTATTGTTCCGAATGCACTTCTGATATTCACCGTAACTTGGTCTCTTGGTTGCTCCATGCAAGTCGCGCTTCCTCACCGCTGTGACCTGCCTTGAGTGAAAACCTCCATATTCCTTTTCATGAAAGAATCATATATATGAGTACCTACCTTGTCCCTATTCACACCCCCAGATTGTCCCCTGACTCCGTAAGTTGACATGGCATGACTATTTCTTCGACGTCGCTCCCAAGCCTCTGTCTCTCCCAATTCGGCGAATCTCATCACACACTTTTGCAGTAACTTCAGTAGTTCCAGCACTTCCACCCAGGTCTCTCGTCTTGACACCTTGATCCAGCGCATTCTCCACAGCCAGCATGAGCAACTCGGCAGCCTCATCCTCACCCAGCCACTTAATCATTTCCGCCACCGTCCAGAAGGTACCGACGGGATTCGCAACACCCTTGCCCGCAATATCCCACGCCGAACCATGGATGGGTTCAAACATACTCGGTCTCTGCCTCGTTGGGTCAAGGTTACTGGTGGGAGCGATGCCGATGCTCCCGGCTAGCGCGGCGGCCAAGTCAGTCAAGATATCAGCATGCAAGTTCGTAGCGACCACGGTATCAAGGGATTCTGGCTGTAGCGCCATGCGGCATGTCATGGCGTCGACGAGCATCTTGTCGCTCTCGACGTCGGGATAATCCTTGGCCACGAGTTTATGCACGTCATCCCAGAGAACCATCCCGTTGCGCTGGGCGTTGGATTTGGTCACCATCGTCAGTTTTCTGCGTGGTCGGGACCGTGCCACTTCGAATGCGAACCGCATGATCCTCTCGACGCCGTAGCGCGTGAAGATGGCCACTTCCGTCGCCGTTTCCCAGGGCTGACCGATGTGTGAGCGTCCGCCTTGGCCGGCGTATTCGCCCTCGCTGTTCTCCCTGACAATCACCCAGTCGAGTTTGCGGCGGTTAGTATCATTGTCGTCGGTACTGGTGGGTTGGCATGCCGCCAATGGCGATGTCACGCCCTTCAAGATCCGCGTCGGCCGCACATTCGCAAATTGTTGGAACCCCTGGCAGATCGCCAGTCGCAGACCCCAGAGCGAGATGTGGTCTGGCACGCGTTGGTCGCCGACGGCGCCAAACAGGATGGCATCGAACCGCTGTAGTTCCTCGAGCCCGTCATCCGGAATGTACTTTCCAGTCTGGAGGTACCTGTCGCTCGACCAGTCGAAGTGCGTGACGTCGAAGGAGAACGTGCCGTATGTTTCGGCGAGCGTCTCGAGGACTTGTATACCCGCTGAAATGACTTCCGGTCCGATGCCGTCTGCGGGGATCGAGGCGATCTTGTATGATGTCTTAGAAGGTGGAGGGGCCAGAGGCTGCTGTGAGATGGGGATGGAGCCCATGTTGATCACGATAGATGTATGCTGTCTGGAAAAAAGGTTTGAGTATAACTCCAAGTCCTCGAGGCTAGATTTGAGATAGTTATATATGTCAAACTTGCCTACATACGTGTGAGAGAGTACGTAGGACCTGCCCCGTTCTCACACCTACGTAGACATCTGCCAACCCCACGGAGGGCGCTCCCGGAGGGGGGTGGGGGCCGGAGAGGGTGACCGACGGGCAGACTCCGGGAGCTGCTCCATTATCAAAAGATGTTCAATGGGGACCCGCGGCTAGCAAGGATGACGCGTAAACAATCAGGCGACAAACTGCTGGCAACTCAGTTCAAGTCAAGTTGGTAACAGCGCGTCTCTTTTCTCGCCATGCCATGGTGGCCAACTTGAATCGCCCGATCAATTGCCCAGTTTCGGGAGAAGAAACGTCCGATACTCATGGAGTTCGTCCTTTCATTTCGCCGGGCAGTTGAGGCACAGAGCTGTGGTAAAAGCGGCAAGGGCGTAGGACCGAATTAGATTTGAAATGTTGCTTTTTCATCTCCTTCCCCGGTCTGGCTAGACATCAGCTAAGGTGCCGATAGCATTTCCCCTCGAGAAGTGCGCCAGATTCTCCATTCAGTTCTCAGTGGCATATTTACAAACGCAGTATACTTACTCTTCCAGTTGATGCATGGGTGCTCTGCATTTGGCATCAAGAGTGGCCTCGAGCTCGGTTATCTCGGTCGTGCTTCTCTTGGTGATTGGACTGGCGGACAGGCCCAATATATATATGGTAGCTCATATGCAGGGTCGGACGTCTTGAAAATTCTCAGCGGTCCGGGAGACGCCTCCGTTACTCTGACTCCGGCTCCCTAAACATTGGGAGGCGACTCCCGCCTGCCTTATCGCCGCCTCCTTGATCGCCTTTCTGCTGGGCCACTAGTATAAATTTCCGACTAGGTTTACTTAGTCCATACGAAATAGGCGCTTAATATCCTAGTATTACTACCTTAGTCTTAGCGCTAAAATATTAAGAAGGCGACTCCCTTATCGCCTCCCGGGAGACTCCTCCGCAAAGAGGAGCCCTTCCGGGAGACGCCTCCGGGAGACGCTGGTTCTTACACCATACACTGCACTGGCAGTGGATTTCAGTTGCTCTGCCTGCGTCCGACGTCGTGCTCGATTCTGTTCACCCTTCTCGAATTGCCAGAACCCAGGTATTCTTGCAACGTCGAATGGCTCCGCAGTTTGTACCACGATCTGTCGCTAGATGCATCCTGTGCCACCGTCCCCCCTACGATTGTGTGGTTTCCACTCAGGAAGATGACTATTGTTCAGCAGTTGTTCAGCAGTTGTCGAGCAGACAGAACGGGCCACTACATACCTTGCTATGTCTATCAGTCTATCGATAGGTGAAAGATGAGAACTCGGGACACTGCAGTCCTCGGGGTGGCCCGCGCACGAGTCACCCGCTCATCGACTCCGCAAGTAGCCGTTGCGCTGCCCATGACAGTACACCTCTGGGCTTTTGTTCGGACGATTGACCAGCGACCCTCGAAGCCTAGGTATTGTTGATCTATTCTGCACCCGTCAGTCCTCAGAGCGCCTCACGCTGTATTTACGTCAGGAGCACAATGCAGACGTTGCTTGAGAATGGAACGTCCTCCATTAGATATCCCACAGGCCTTACATACACCGGGGGAGTGCGCTGGCACGGTCGAAGATGCCGTGTACGATATCGCCACGGAGACCACTTCTATCGGACGCTTACCCTGCCAGCAGTCGCAGTAGGTGTCGCACCCTGCATGTACGCAGGCTGTCTGTTGCGGATCGTTCATGTGCTACATCCCACGCCTGATGAACATGTTTGTTTGATCTGGCTCGAGAATCCGATCCATCGCGCAACCGTAAGCTATGAGGCACAACATGGGTTTCGTCTTGTCCCGAGCAGCATGAACAATTCGTTGCTTTGCGCGATGATGTCTTTGGTCGATCGTCTCCCCTCAACAAGGCCTGTGCAAACTGCGGGGATTAACATCTGCACTCCTTATTAATCGAAGCATGTACCACCTATGCTTAAAAGGCGTCCTTCGCTGACGACGAGTCGAGCAGTCGTTCATCCATCTGCCCGACAGAGCCATCGCATAGTTCATGTCACCCGTCGATTATCCATCCATGCATCTTCTCATCTAGCAATTGGGAGGGTTGCCTTGCCACGTCAGTGATTCTTGGGAATTTCCGCAATATGAAAACGACCGGCAGTCAGCGTCGACGTGTCAGGGTTGCTGCTCGTACGCTTGCATGAACATTGTTGAGGTCAACGCTCAAAGGCCCGACGTCCGGAACGTGGCACGGGGAAAATTTGTGCTTCGACATTGGGTGACACATTTCAAAAGTCGACAACCACCACAGGTGAGAAGAAGTGGTGGTCCAAGCACATGAGATGTTCTCCCCGTCTGTCACTCAAGACGTCAAGAAAGCCACCGTGCATCAAGCCATTCTGGTATGCCCAGCTAGTCGTTCCTGTCGTGTATCGGCGCTGACCATTAATTTGAACTCCAGTGTCAATTTGACAGTCGTCGATTGGATTATAAAAGTCCGAATCACTTGGCGTGTTGTACTCGGGAGACGCCGGAGATGTCGACTTCGGTCGTCCAACCGAAATGACATACATTGGTGCATGTTTAGTCAAAAAAGAAAAACGTGAGCAGACTATCACGAACAGGTCCACAGTCGCCCAGGGGGCCGCCCTGGCTTTCAAACAGGACTTCAATCCTAGCCATTGTGCTTGGAGATTCTGGACCTGTAGTTGATATCTTGACATAACCGGGAGTCCACCCGGTTCATGACACAGACTCAGCAGATCCGCACCAGGGTCTCACCAAGTCCCACTAGTCTCTCAATATCCGTGGCGCTTGGTCACTTCGTCGGCGCCTCTGCCACTTACACGACATAATGGGTCGCCGACAAGCTTCGGTTCAGCTCGCTTGGTCTCTTGGTCGCATTTCTGCCACTCATGCGACATAATCGGACGTCGACGAACTGCCCTTCAGCTCGCCTGATCGAGCGCAGGTTTCTCGGGTGATGTCTTCGCTCAGCGCGCTCCCTTGTGTGGATCTCTGGTCTTGTGTTTGATGACTGGTCTGGAAGAGAGAGAAAAAGCCATGTCGTGACACTCAGTGTTGGCTGCTGTGGAAGTCAATTTGCACAAATGCGTTGACTTTCTCTGGGCCGCCCTGCAGAGGATGCCCGTCTTCGAGTATAAGTACCCACCTGGCGCTCTCTGCTCGGCGATATCTGTCCAAAAGCCTTCACCGGTATCATCTAGGAACCCTTCTTCGCTTGACCTGACTGTCAGTTGACAACGGGACATTCATCATGGCAATCATACCTCGCTTCCGCTTCGGTCAGACCGGGGCAATGATGGGGTTTCTGCCGGATAGACACAGAAACAACCTTACTGCGTTCATCTCTGAACTTTTCGGCACATTTTTGTTTCTTTTCTTCGCCTTCGCCATTGCTCAAGTCGCAAATACTCCGCCGCCAGATGAACCTACCGCCGCACCCAACATTCTTACCGTCTTGTTCATCGCCCTTGGATTCGGGTGCTCGGTCGCCATCAACGTCTGGCTATTCTATCGAGTTAGCGGAGGAATGTTCAACCCAGCGGTAAGTCAACGTTCGTGGCACGAATCGTGGAGGGAATACTGATACTAATGTGGGTTTGGTCAGGTCACCCTCACCCTTTGCCTGGTTGGGGCCGTACCAACCAGTCGCGGTTGTATCGTTGTCCTTGCACAGATATTAGGTGGAATCGCAGCGGCCGGGGCTGTCTCTGCCACACTGCCAGGTCCCATGGCAGTCAATGTGCGACTGGGGGGCGGCTGTTCCGTCACCCAAGGTCTCTTCATTGAGATGTTCACCACGTTGCAACTGGTTCTCACCGTCGTTATGCTGGCGGCTGTCAAGTCCAAGGCCAGCTTCCTCGCACCAATTGGGATCGGGATTGCTCTCTTCATCGGACACCTGCTCAGTAAGAACATCGATCTGTGGTTGGCAGGTTCAAGCGACTAACGATGTGTGATTAAAGGTATATATTACACCGGTGCTGGAATCAATCCTGCTCGAGCATTCGGCCCCGATGTCGTCAACCACAGTTTTCCCGGGTACCATTGGATCTATTGGGTTGGACCTTTGCTAGGATCTTTGGTCGCGGCGGCATTATACTACATCCTCGAGGCTTTGGAATGGCGCACGGCCAACCCAGGCCAGGACTATGATGACCTTGAGGTCCAGATGATCAATCCCAAGCAAAAGACGGTCAGGCCAAACGTCGCTCTCGCGCCTCGGCCGGTCACAACACGCAATGGGCAAAGCTCGTATGAGAAGGAAACCGCGGCGCCTTTGTCCGACCCCAACACTCCAGATGCTTAAGCCGATGGCTTGTTCTATGGGAGTGTCGGGGCTGATGAGTTGAGCCACCGGGGTAATGCACCAGCCTGGTTAGCCTTGGTGGAAACAACGTCGGCATATTGACAGGTGGCTTTATGAAAAGTCATTCCCTAGCAGTGCTTATGCTCGGTCTTGGGCCAGCTGATGATCAAATATATCACAGTCCATCACTCACAATTCATCTTAGTCCTATTGTCTGAGTATTTCATACTAGTGTGGGTGCGACACGACAATTTCGGTTGCTGATTTGACAGTCCCATCCGCCGGCGAGATATCCGGTCGAAGCAGGCTCAGACGTCTGTGGCTGCTTTGCTATGGCCCCACCCTTCCCTCGTCCGGGACAGCCTCGTGTTGGTAACTTGTGTAAACATGCGGATAAACATGTCTCTGTTAAAATATACTGTAGGGCGTGAAAGCCTCCCTAAGTCCGCCTACGGAGCGACTAGTCTCGATTAGGCCTAGTCTCAATAGTAGTACTAGTATTCGGCGTACTAGGAGCCACGCTCACAGGAGGGCTCTCTACAGAGTTCTCAACAGGCAGCGGCACTCATAGGATAGAGGCTCTCGACAGCGCGCCCACTCACAGAACAGCACGCTCAACAGGATACTCACAGAACAGCGCTCTCGACAGCGCTCTCACAGCACAGCGTTCTCAACGAGGAGCTTATAGAGTAGAGCACTCGACAGAGTAGATACCTAGAAAAGAGCTTTTAATAGCGTAGGTAGTAAGAAGAGTAGGCGCCTACCCTAGGAGAGTAGTCGGCAGGAGCGAGTCGGTACGGATAAACTCTCTTCCGTACGCCAAGCCTAGCCAAATCACGTGATGTTACCTTTGAACTGACCAATCGATAAGCCGGATTCTTATCAAGCCAATAACCATCGCGGCTTTCTTGACGAGATTTGCACATAGACCTACTTCGCTTCGCTCCGTAGGATTATGTTGTTTTGGCCGGCGCGCTAACAGATAACTTCTTGGGCCATCAACAGTAGTAGTACGTAGGTACTTGGTAGTGGTAGTGGCTGTGGTTCTAGTAGTAGTAGTGGTAGTAGGTAGGTAAGGTACCTAGGTAGTAGTAGTATGCGACTAAGACGAATAGAGTCCAAGATTCAAGTTCAATTTACGCCGCGGCGCAGTTTTGCGGAGGTCGGCTAATATTTAGCATCAGCAACCGCTGCTTATGATCTTCCGCACTCGTCACGAATGAGTCCCACCTACAGCCGTGGTCTTGAGATAAAAGTACAGGGGATTGTCTTTCTTACCCTTCCATTCCGAGTTTACCGCATCCAAGCACCTTGCATTTCGGTGGACAGTCTAGAACGCCCAACAACTGGAGTATATAAGGTAAATCCGCCGGTTTAAGTTGGCCTACCGTTTTCAAGAGTAGCTCGACCGGAGCGATGATCACTGGAACGATGAATGATTTGCAAATCATCAAGTAGAGGTCAGGACTACTCCTAGATAGTGCCTGGATATCAAATCAAGGCTCCCTAATTCCCCCAAAGAGTGTACCAAAGAAGACCGCGAAATGTGCATCTCAAGCGCAGTCAGTGATATGTTACCCAAAGTCGACAGTGCTTTCACGACATTGCTCTCACAAGACCTCACAAAGACCTCAACTTGTATATTCAAGCCCTCATTTGATCAACTTGTAATCTAGGCTATCTTGGTATAAAGGCAATTTGTGGCGACACGGTCGCCTCGGAGACGTTGGTCTGAGGCAAAGTATGCTCGATCGATCGTCGTTCACACATCAGGGGGATTGGCTGGGTCAGCACCATCATGTTCAGTGTATTTTGTGGCATTATTTCGTCTGATCGCTGGGGTTGCTGTTGTAGTGTCTGCATAAGGAGGGCTACCTCTGGCTTCCCGGATAATAGTGCCTGCAGTGTCTCTGGGCTGTGCACACCAGCCGCCGTGATCGCCCTCTTTCCTGCCATATTGTTTGACACCCTTAGACCGAATTGAGGTCGCAAATTGTCGGTACCAAAGATTGCATGACTGTCGTCTCCAGCTCGATTCTTCTCGACCACAATTTCCAGGCGTGTAGCATCCGCCACCTGTTGTGATTGGGCGAGAGCTTGGAGAGCGTCTTCCAAGTGTGCTCTATCGGCTTGAAGGCGATCTCGCAACGATTCCGCTCCATCGCGAATGGCATCTTCAACCTTCTCTGCCTGATCAATCAGGTCTTGCTTCGTGCCTTCGATCAAACCCTTCATCTCCTCTATCGATTCTTGTGTCGTACCGTGGTCTTGACTGGTGGCCATCAGCATTGTATCATCATCAGTGGAGAGATCACTACAGGTTAACGGAAGCAAACGCAATACTCAGCGTCGACTGATAGCTTGCAAGCCGCTGCTTCATATCGGCGAAGCTCTTCCCATGGAACTGCATCTTGAGCCAGTCACGAATGCTGGCGTGGACATCATTCGGACGTTGAGTGCATGCATCCAACGATTTCTGCATGTCCTCACAAGTCGAAATGCAGCACTGCATCGGCTGGCAGAGTGGCTTATACTTGCATTCGTCGCCCGATTCCAGTATCTGCTGTTGGACCAGCTCGAGCACAGAGACCAGGGCAGTAAGGCTACTTTGGACTTCTTGGATATCTGTCCGTCGACTTTTGAAACTGGAAACGACCTCGTACAGCTTTTTGCTCGTATCATAGGCGAAGGTCGCAAGAGCTAAGATGCTTGCTGCCTCTCCGACTCCCGCCATTATGCGGACAGTATATCACTGTATAGTGTTTTGGCACAAAACATCCAGGATGTGGGATCGCTGAGTCTGTATAGCTTCCCGGCAAGAGCGGGGTAAGGTTAAACCAAGCCATGATTCCAACAGTCAACCTGCCCTTGGTAGATGCATCAGCCACAACACAGCCACTGGTGGCCTCGATGCGCTCAGCGATGCACCTTTGGGTGCACTTCCATTTCAGCTAAAGAGGTTGGTGGAGGTAATCTCGTGTTACCATATCACACTTCAGCCTGATGCCCATTCTTTTGTTGCCGTCCAACACGATTCGTCCCGATCATGATTTTACGCGTCTGCTGACTCAACTAGGCATGGTATGCGCTGGACGTGTGCTTATAAGACACCATGGCGCACAGAATTGAAATTACGGGTAACAAGGCCGAAGCTGGAGCAACCCTGATTAGCAATGTCAACTTGAGCACAAGTATGCGTCACAGCAAGTCCGGAGGACGTATATGGCTCAAGCTTACGATAATGTACAGGCCACACGAACGACGACATCGACCGCGCCTGCCTTCGTGCCCTCCGATGCCCCGACTCGCTGGCGGTCAAACACCGACTGAAAGAGAATAAAGACAAACTAGTGCACAAGTCCTTCGACTGGATTTTAAAGGACCCCCAATATCTCCGCTGGCAAGATGAGTCCGACGTGGGACTCTTGTGGATCAAAGGCGGTGCCGGGAAAGGGAAGACGATGATGTCGATTGGTCTCATCGAAGTGCTGGAAGAACAATCGCGACAGATGGCAGACTCATACGCGGTGATATACTTCTTCTGTCAAGATGCGGACTACGAACTCAACACGATTGACGCGATCATTAAGGGTCTGATCCTCCAACTAGTGAGGAAGCAGCCGAAACTTAAGCAATCACTGCGGGACCGATGGGACGTGGCCAGTCAGCGATACACTGAAAATGTCTCATCATGGCGGGGTCTGTGGGTCATCTTTATGGAGATGCTGCATCGGTGCACTTATGCACGCCTCTATGTGATGGTGGACGCGCTGGACGAATGCCAGGACAGCGGGATGGCGGAGCTGCTTCGACTAGTTGTGAGGACAGCACTGGACTGGCCATCCCGTCTGAAATGGCTGGTGACGAGTCGACCGTTGGACAGCGCGGAGCGAGTGCTGTTAGCTGGGCCAGACCAGGTCAGGGTCAGTCTCGAACTAAACTCGGATCACCTCTCGCAGGCCGTGCGGACGTACATTTCGCACAAGGTGGCAGAACTGGATCGTTGGTGTGAGTATGGCCCTGATCTTCGGCACCGGATCGAGGACGAGCTACATATAAAAGCCGAGGATACTTTCTTATGGGTCAGTTTAATGTGCAAACAGCTGGAAAGTGTAGGGCGGGAGGATACGTTGACGGTGATTCGAGATCTGCCGCCTGGGCTACCACCTTTCTACGATCGAATCCTGCGACAGGTTTGTTACGGAGAGTCGACTCTGGTCCAAGGATGCGTGCGGTTACTGAAAGTGATGATGATGACCTATCGTCCTTTGGATGTGCGAGAGCTCAGCAGTGTGAGTGGGTTGCTTGTCGACCGACGATATATTGACAAAGTGATTGGACGGTGTGTCTCGTTTGTGACACAGCGCGGCAGCAGAATCGACTTTGTGCATCAATCGGCTCGGGACTACTTACGTGGGACGACAGGTCGAAGTATGCTCGATGATTATGATCATGATCATTTTGAGCACAGCGACATTGTGGTGAACAGCCTTGTGTGGCTGTGTCAGTGGTTGAAGGTGAACCTCCTCGACCTCAGACAGCCCGACTCATCACGAGAGACGATCATACAGCGCGAGCTCGAGTTACTAGCCACTCTTGACTATGCCGCCACATTCTGGTTTCACCACCTAAAGGAGGCCGGAGATGAAGATGTACATGTTATTGACATCGGAGGAAAAGTTACAAAATTCCTCCAGACGCGACTTTTGGAATGGTTTGAATGTTTGAGTTGGTTGGATCAAATGGCGCGGGCCATTGAGGCGCTACAGATAATGGCCAAGATGTCCATCAGATCAGCTCGTGTGAGTCTCACTGATGTCCTTGATTTGATAGTATACTCTCCGTGGCTGATACAATGGACTAATAGTCCGACATATTGATATTCGTGCTGGATGCGCAACGGTTCTTACTCCGACATTACCAAACGGTGTCGTTATGGCCACTACAAACGTACAGTTCGGCGGTAATCTTCAGTCCGGAGAAGAGTGTTGTCCGTCAGAGAAACCTGGACAAGATCCCTAGCTGGTTGGTTACCATCCCACCGATGGAGGAAGAATGGGCGTCTTTGATTCAGACGCTGGCCGGCCACTCAGATTGGGTGAACACGGTGGCATTCTCACGCGATGGCCAACGGATCGTGTCTGGATCTTCGGACAAGACTATCAAGATATGGGATG